CCTCACAGCCTTTTCCTTATATTCTTTTTTTTTTTTTTAATTTTTAAAAAAATTTAAATTTTTTAATATTTATTTTTGAGAGAGAGAGCACGTGCGTGAGTGGGGGAGGGGCAGAGAGAGAGAGACACACAGAATCTGAAGCTGGCTCCAGGCTCTGAGCTGTTAGCAGAGACCAATGCGGGGCTCGTGAGATCATGACCTGAGCCCAAGTCGGATGTTTAACCGACTGAGCCACCCAGGTGCCCTTCCCTTATATTCTTGCTCAACAAGCTGTGTTCTATTCTCTTTCAAATTCTTCCTCAGGCTCCCCTCCTCCAAGAAGCCTTCTTAAGACTAAGGTGCCTCTTATTGCCCTCAGGATCCTGGTGCATTTGTTTCCAAATTTCACTGCCCAGGCTTCCCCTGGTGGGACTTCCCCACTAGATTTTGTGAGAGAGGGAGAGCCGGCAGGCCTAGACTCAGGTTACCTACATCCTGTTTGCTTTCTCCTTCCCAGTCCTTAAATCTCCTGGGCCTCGGTCTTCTGCCTCCAGAATGGTTTTCCCCGACAAACCCACCGAGCCTTCTAAGCCCCAACCAACCCACCTAAGCCTTCTAAGCCCCACAGCATCCCACAGCCCTGGGGAATTTGGTTGTGCTATTCTACTGCCTTGTTCTGTCTGTCCTTTGTTCTCTCTTATGGGTAGAGCTGAGGGTGAGGATTGGGTTTCTTCCTTCCTTCAAATCTATCTAGGGCTCAGGACCAGGTTGCCAAGGGTGTAGGAGAATAATGTGACCCCACAGGGCTCTCAGGTGCCACAAAAGAGTCTTCTGACGGTCCCTTTTCTCCCCAGACTGAACCCAACCTTGTTCACTGTGCAAGCCTTTGACACAGCACAATTACAGCATTGAGCACAACACAGAGACAGGCACTGCCCTGCACTTGACCTCTCATTTATTCAAACCCTCACTCTCATTCCCATTGAATGAGAACGGACATTTTGGGCTTTCTCAGAGTGGGACAGAGGGCTGGATGAAGAGCCAAGTTCACCCAAGTCTTTGGCACGGCCATTCATTGGGTCCCTCTGGTGTACGGACACCCTCTCTGATCCTCAGCTTCACTTCCAGAGCTGGTGAGGTCTGCATGAGCCAGAGGAGGCTAAGGGCAATACCACCACCATTTTTAATATCACCGCTCACCACGTCAAGTCAAGGGACAGTTATCTTTTCCATTTTACACAGAAGGAAACTGAAGCACAGGGAGGTTAAGTAACTTGACCAAGGTCACATAGCAAGGAAGGGGCAGAGGCAGGGTTTGCACTCAGTCCCACATCTCCAAAGCCCACTGTCTTCACCATGACCCCGCACTGCCTCCCATTTGGCTGGTGCTTGGAGCTTCGCCAAAGCACTTTCACATACACCTTCTCATTTGCTCCCCACCCAGGGAGTGTTTATGTGACTTGGCCAGAGTTAGACAGCTAAATTAGAGACAGAGCTGAGTCAGCCGCCTGGATCCACAATACCTACTGCCTCCCTGCTCGGGGAGACCCCTGGTCCTAGGGTTAGCTGCCCCCTCCTATTCCTGACTTCGGTTCTAGGCAATGGTTAGCTGGACTAAGACTGTGGCCATTATCTCCTGTTCGTTTATCTCCCACCTGAACCTGGGCTAAGATGTTTCTGACCTCAGAGGGCATCCAGCATGCATCCGTGCCTCCCCTTATCAGCCGTGATGTTCCTCCATGCTGCTGTGGGTGGGCATCTGCTGTCCTGAGCAGTGATTACCAAGGACCAGGCCATCTCGGGCAGCTCAATATCCTTCACGGTTCTACCGGCTCCAGATGAGCTCTTCTCTGTCTTTGACAGTCCTGTCCTTTCCATCCTGACACCCCTGAAAGTAGTTTGGTCTTGTTCTTTCTGCGTGTCTAATGGTTGAAGAACAGGACGGAACTGTTGAGGAACTAGGGAAGTACCTGCAAGGATACTGGCTTCTGCAGGATAATTTGAACCAAAGTCTATTTCAACCCCCTCACCTTACCTTGTACTATCCATGGCATGAATTTGCCTGTCTCATCCTTTTTACCCTTCCTAGGAGGGGTAGGGGATGAGGCTCCTGTGTTGGAGAGGTGAATAGGGCCTGTGTAGTGCACACACATCTCTGGTAAAATGAGCCTCAGGTTCCTTGGTGTGTCCAGAGTTATTAACCTCACCCAGTGCCTGTGAACTGCATCTGTGGGTCTGGAGGGGCAGCATTAAAACCTTTCCTGGGACCGTAGCCAATAGAGGGGGTCTGTTTTAAGCTTTGCTGGTAAAATGAACCCCCCTTCCTCCATAGACACAGGACAGCCCCATCCTGCCCTCCGCAGAAGTCAGGGTCTGGGGTGACTAGCTTTGGGGGCAAGTAACAAACTGTTCCTCCTTTCAGTTAGCCTGGGGCTTGTCGGAACAAGTGACGGGGAAATAGGGAAGTTGGGGACAGTCACAGTCATGAACACCCATCAGACTCCCTTCCCATAAAAACCACACAGCTCCCACTCCCCAAAGGCCCAAGACTCCAGAGAGAGGACATCTGAGACCCCACCTCTACTCAGGAGCAAGGTGGCGCTGGCAGGAGGATGGCTCTCTGAAAGATTTCCGAGGTGGAGCACGTGGGGTGGCCCACTCTGGGAGGAAGGGGGACGGAAAGAACACGGGGACGTGGGTGGGTAAAGGGAAAAGGCTGTAGAACCCCGGAGGGGCTGCTGTGGCTCGTCCCTCTCCCACCCCACCCCTTCACGTCCCAAAGGTCTGAACTTTTCATTCGTCTTTAAGCGAGGCGCGGAGGTGAAGGGGGGGGGGTCGTACCGAGGGAGGAGCTAGAGGCCGCCACCACGGACGAGGACCCGTCTGGCCCAACCCCTTCATTTCACTACTGGGGGTGGCGAGGAGGAAGTGGTGAAGGAGAAGGTCGGCGGAGGAGGGAGGTGGGGAGCAAGGACCTGGCAGAAGCCAGTCCGACTGGGGGAAAGCAGCGGGAGAGCTCTGAGTTCCAGGCCCGGCGGAGGGGGCAGGGGGGGGGGTCGTCTATCGCGAGGGCCTGCGAGGGTCGCCGGCAGCTTCTGCCACTTACCTGGCGCGCGGAGGGAGAGCCGCAGCCGCTCGGCGGTGTGGCTCGCGGGTTTCCCGACGGGACGTCCTGGAGGGCGGGGCCGGGGCGGGCCTTGCACGGCCGCTGGGGCGCGCACTTCCCGCAGCTCCCGGGCTAGAGGCAGGCGGCCACCCGCAGCGCCCGGAGCTCTGCTGCGGGCGGCCGGGAGGCCGGCGGCCTGCTGGGGCGCGCCCCCTGCCCCAGGCTCCCCCCGCCCCCGCCCCGCCGCTGCTAGAAGCTTCTCCAGCTTCTCCTGGTCTCAGCCCACCCAGGGGTACCGTCCCCGCGGCCAGGCTCTCGGCGCCGAGAAAGATCCGAGGGTCCTAGTGGCTCCGAAGACGACAGGCATTAAGCCGAACCGCCGGCGGCGCGGAGCACTGTGCGCAGGGAACCGCAACGTGCGGCGCGCCGGCTCAGAGCGCTCCGGGCCGGGAGGCGGCGGCGCCGGAGGAACAGAACGCGGCCGGGCGGCTGGAAGCCCCGGGGCTCCGTCCCAGGTTTGCTTCTCATTGGCGGGGTGGTCTCGGGCACATGACTCCTCCCCTCCATCCCCCGACGACTGCAGGTGTTAACTGTGGGCCGCGAACAGCGCTCGGGGCTTCTGAAACGCCAGCTCTCGAGTCAACCCCAATCCCAGCGAGCGGGAAGGTTATGAGCCAGAATGTACCCGGGACGCGGCTGATCCCACAGCTAGAGTGATGCCCTAAGTGTGGTTTCCGGAGTTGCAGCATCAGCATCCTCCGATAAGTTGTTAGAGACGTAGATTGTTGGGTCCCACCCCAGACCTAAATAATAGGAAACTCTGGGGGATGGGGCCCGGCAACTTGCGTTTTTAAAAGTCCGCCAGGTAATTTTGGTGCCTGCTCAACTTTGAGACCCACTGAGCAAGCAGGGGCAGGGCTAGAATTAGAATCAATACATTCAGTTCCGAAGCACAAGCTCTGAATCCCCCTGCCTTAGCCTGGGGCTGCCCCAGAATTTCCCTCCAGCTGTAGGGTCCTGTGATGTCATCTTTTGGGTCCTTTATCGCAGTAATAGAGAAGTAACGTGGATGACCACAAATAGCTAGTAATTTAGAAATTTTCTATGGTAGAAACTTGGACCACTAATTCTGGTTTTCTTTTTGTTCGAGTGTTTGTTTATTTTTTTTTAATGTTTATTTATTTTTGAGAATGAGAGAGAGAAAGAGGCAGAGTGTAAGCAAGGGAAGGGCAGAGAGAGAGGGAGACACAGAATCTGAAGCAGGCTCCAGGCTCCAACTGTCCGGACAGAGCCTGATGGGGTGCTCGAACCCACGAACCCCGAGGCCACGACTTGAGCCGAAGTCAGTCGCCCAACCAACTGAGCCACCCAGGCGCCCCTTGTCTGAGTGTTTAAATGCATTTGTGTTTCTAAGTCTGTAAGACCTGGGAGCCATCGTGTACACAAGGGGGTAAATCTGAGCAAGAAGACTGCTCTCACAAGAACTGGGAAGGGCAGGGAAGCCCCTTGGGGATCCACAGTGCACCTGAGGGAAGTAATCTTGTTTTCAAATCTGGGACCCCGAGGCAGGATTGAGTTATTCAGAAGGAGGCCGGAGGTTTTTGGGTGATGGAGTCTGGAGAGATGAGATGAGGCCAGTGGAGGCTGGAGAAGACCTTGCCCAGCCATGAAGGATGGACTTCCCCAAAGGAGGCGAAAAGGGAGGCACCCATTCACTCTTGGCATGGTCCCCTCTCTCCTAACTCCAGGCCCTCCCATCCCCAACTCCCTTGCTTTCACATTAGACCCTGGGGTGTAAGCTTTTGAAGACAGATCTACAGAATTTACTTTGATCCTTTACAGACCCTCAGGGCTGGAAGTCCCACCGCTCCAGCTGCCACCATTCTTGTCACTTGCCACCATTCTTGTCACTTACCTTATTCGACAGGTGTCTTACTCAGACGAATGGCATCTCCTGTGAAAGACTGTGGGCTGTTGCCCCTCATTTGTGCTTTCTGGGGCTAGACAGTCCTGTACCATCTGACCCTTCGGTCTTTGGGGTTCCTCTAACTCTGCTCTGGGACCCTTGGGGTTGTGTGATCCTGGCCGGGCCCTTGGGCTTTAGTCGGGACTCAACTTGACCTGAGGGTGATAGGCTCGGCTGGACTCACAGCCTCCGTTCTTCCCCCAAGTCATGGCAGAGTCACAACCACTAACCCTAACCCGGAGTTCCCGAGAGGGTGGTGTCGGGCTTCTCAAGGAAGCCTCATCAGTCTGCGTCGTGTGCGCCGCATTCCGGAAGCAAATTACTCATCCCATTTTACTTCAGCTGACTCAAATTTCAGATATGACTTTGAGTCCTTAGAATAATTAGCTGCCTAATTTGGAGGTGCATGTAGTCTGCAGGATACGTGACCCACCCCTGATGTGTCATACACTGAGCTATTCTCTCCTAGCTGGAAGGATGGTGTGGAGGTCAGGAAGGTCTGGAGGTGAGCCGCTGCAGAATGGTGACCGTGACCTCAGCCAGCCACTGGTTGCAGCCGCTTAAGAAAACAGTGTTCTTTTTTTGTTTTTTAAAAATGCTCATCTATTTATTTTGTGTGAGAGAGAGAGAGAGAACACAAGCAGGGGAGGGGCAGAGAGAGGGGGAGACAGAGAATCCCAAGCCGATTCCACACTGTCAGCACAGAGTCCAACGCGGGGCTCCCATTCACAACCGTGAGATCATGACCTGAGCCAAAGTCAAGAGTCTGACGCTTAACCAACCGAGCCACCCAGGTGCCCCAAGAAAACAAGTTTTCTTTAATTGAAGAACTTATATAGGCATGTGGTTAAAAAATTTTTTTTCAAGCACTATAAAAAGGTATGCGGTGCAAGTGACATTTTTTCCCCTCCTTAGACCTTTAGTCCTCTCCAGAAATCACCTCCGCATAGTCATCCACTCTTCCCCGTCACTAAGCTCTTCTGTAGAACAGGTCTGAATTCCTTGCTCCTCAAGAAAATCCTGTGAATTTCATTATTTTCTCACAGTCTTGTTTTTATTTCTCGGTCATTTTAGATTCTGTTTCTGGGCGTTCAGAGTTGCTTTTTACATTATTGTGCTTTGGGGATTCCCCCCAGAAGGCAGGAAATGTGGTGGAGAGCAGATCGGTTGAAGCAAGCGAGACAAGGGCAGCTGACAGGACATCAGCTCTGGCCCTTATCAGGTGTCTTCCTTCCACATGTAGTCCCTGGTGAGGGGGATGCCCACCTCTAGGTGGAGCAGAATGACCGAGACTTGCCCATTAGGGCAGGTGCTGGCTGCACTTCGCAGGCCAGGGTTACAGAGGAAGCGGCCATGACTTTGCCAGGCAGGTAGAAGTGGGGTTAATGATGCCCAACATTGCTGTAAAGCTTGAGCAGATAACTGATGTGAAAGCATGATAATTTGGTTCTTCTGTTACATCTGTTTCTTTTTTTTTAATTTTTTTTTCAACGTTTTTTATTTATTTTTTTGGGACAGAGAGAGACAGAGCATGAACGGGGGAGGGGCAGAGAGAGAGGGAGACACAGAATCGGAAACAGGCTCCAGGCTCCGAGCCATCAGCCCAGAGCCCGACGCGGGGCCCGAACTCACGGACCGCGAGATCGTGACCTGGCTGAAGTCGGACGCTTAACCGACTGCGCCACCCAGGCGCCCCTACATCTGTTTCTTTATCTTCTCTCCCCATATTCCCCTTTCCTCCTTCTCATCTCATTTCCACGCCCCAAAGAGAAACACGCAAGGCCAGAAACGTTCTAGGATCCCAGGCAGAGCTGTCCCAAGTTCTGCCACAATCCCTCATGTGTAGTTAACTCACCTCCTAGTTCAATAGGAATTACAGATAATTTCCTTATCTGTAAAATGGGTACTAGGGTAAGGTGAGTGAGGTATTTGCCTTAGGTGCAAAATTGAAGGGGACATCAAACCTCAGTTAATCGAGTAATATTTAATATGATATTTTAATACACCCAAATTAGTGCAAAAAATCTATCTTGAACAAAGTAGCAACAGTGGTCTTTTGAAATGTTAGAAAGTTTCTATTTTTTCTGTTTATTTATTTTAAGAGAGAGAGAGAGAGAGAGAGAGAGCAAGTGGGAGAGGGGTAGAGAATGAGAGGGAAAGAGAGAATCCCAAGCACTGTCAGCGTGGAGCCCAGTGCGGGGCTCAAACTCATGAACCGCAAGATCGTGACCTGAGCCGATGTCAGACACTTAACCGACTGAGCCACCCAGACGCCCCTGGAAATTTTTTGTAATTATGCTTTTTTTTTTTTTAATTTTTAAATGTTTACTTTATTTTTGAGAGAGAGGGAGAGAGAGAGAGACAAAGTGTGAGTGGGGGAGGGACAGAGAGAGAGAGGGAGAGACAGAATCTGCAGCAGGCTCCGGGCTCTGAGCCATCAGCACAGAGCCCAACGCGGCGCTCAAATCCACAAACCATGAGATCCTGACCTGAGCGGAAGTCAGGTGCTTAACCGACTGAGCCACCCGGGCGCCCCTAATTATATATTCTTATTAAGCACCAGCTTAATATTGCAGAACATTTCAAATTATCTTTCAACAGCCCATTCTTCCCTCCCTCACCCAAATTCTTTATAATAAAGAGCTCTTGAGGTAAAGACATACTCCCTTGTCTCTGTATAGCCCTTTATCAAATAAAGGCCAAGAGCCGTGTACATCTGCCCTCAAATGCTGCCCCCGGCTGTGGAGGCAGCGTCTGCCCGGACTCAGAGCCTGAAAGACTCTTTGTTCAGGAACTGTGTCTTTACAAAGCAGGTCCACCACTTGCCGGGTTTATCCTCCTGAAGGTCAAAACCTTTCTCGGCGTCTCAGAGCCCGAGTCCAGTCTCTTGCCTTAGCTGCTATACGTGGGCCCTCATCATTTCCGCTTCCCCTTTGTTGACAAGTTTGGCATAAGCTGAATTAAGTGGAAGACCGGGTTTCCAGGCATGGGAAGACTAGAGATTCCCATGGTGTGCGTTTCTCTCTCACCGTGGCTTTTGGAATCGCATTCTTGGGGTTCCTTGAGACACCAAGATGCTCCAAAATGTAGCGCTCTGAATACCAAGTTTCTGTCAGCCTCATTCTAATCTCATGGTTTCTGAACAAGACATGGCCTCCAAGCAATAGATGGCTTCGTCCGTCATATCTATATCCTGTCTGTCTAGGGGTGGGTTGTTTGAACTGACTTCTGATAGGCAGCAGTGCCATGATTCCAATGAGTTTGGTGCAGGGCTCGCGACAGAAGAGTGATCAGCTGACATCTTGGGGGTGCCCCGAAGTATCAATTTAAAATAAACGGTAGTGACCTGCTGGGCCGTATAGAAGCCTGAGGCAAAAAGAAAAGGTGTACCTCATATACATTTAAAAAGATTTTTTTTTGGATGCCCAGGTGGCTCAATCCGGGAAGCATCTGACTTCAGGTCATGATCTTGAGTTTCATGAGTTCGAGCCTCACATCAGGCTCCTGCTTGGGAGTCTCTCTCTCTCTCTCTCTCTCTCTTTCTCTCTCCCTCTCTCTCTGCCTCTCCCCCATTTGCATTTTCCCTCTCTCAAAATAAATAAATAAACTTAAAAAAAAACAACTTTGAAGTCTACAGCATAGAAAATTTGCCTGAGTCTCCAGCCTGCTGGCCTGCCCTGCCAGTTTCGGACTTGCCAGTCCCCACAACTACGTGAGCCAATTCCTTAAAAGAAATCTCTCTCTCTCTCTCTGTATATCTTGTGTCTCCAGAGAACCTGACCAATATAGTGGTTATGCATGAGGTGAGACTGCGGACATCGGGCGAGTATGGAGAATCCACTGGAAAGTACGGCTGGTCACAGGTTTAGGCCCAGCCTTCTAGGCCTCTGCCCCGTTTATGGCAGAACTGGCTGGCATCTTCATCCTCTGTGGAACCTGGTTTAAAAAACTTTTTTTTAAACATTTATTTATTTTTGAGAGACAGAGAGAGACAGAGCAGGAGCAGGGGAGGGGCAGAGAGAGAGAGAAAGAGAGAGAGAGAGAGAGAGAGAGAGAGAGAGAGAGAGAGAGAATTCCAAGCAGGCTCCTTGCCGACCTGGGGCTCAGTCTCATGAACCGTGAGATCATGACCCGAGCCAAAATCAAGAGTCAGATGCTCAACTGACTTAGCCACCCAGGTGCCCCAATCTCTTGGTATTTTATATTTGGGGTGCTGTTGTAAACATTACCTGCTGCAGGAAACGCTTGGTCAGTTTGCTGTATAACAGAAGCCTCCTTCTATCATTCAATGAGTAATTTTTCTTCTCTTGGAAAATCACATGGGAGTGGTGAAGGGTGACTATGGACTCTTCTAGTTACATCACACAAGGGCTTCTTAAAAGCACTAAATGTATGGAAACCAATCTGACAATAAATTATATTAAAACAAAAAAAGCACTCAAGATGCCCAGGATCTATCTTATGTGGACCTTTGGCAAAAGAGAACTTTAATAATTGCAAAGAATAAAGCATCTAAATGCTCACAAGGTTTTGCTGTGAGAACATTTTCTGCCCCAAGTTAATGATATCTTATTGTTTAATAGCTTTCCTTAAAAAAAAAAAAAAAAAAAAAAAAAAAAGATATGCGCATTGAACCTTCTGAGACAGAGGTAATTGGATCTTAGCCTGACAGTCATTTTACCCAGAGGGAAATAATAAAAGGAATAATAAACTGTCCCCCAGGTGACAGCAAAATCTTTGTTTATTCCGAAAAGATAGAAGAGGTTCCTATCTTCTTAAACATTTGAAAAAAACAGTAAATTTCATTGGAGAGGGTTGAAATGCTATCTGATATCATCTGAATGTTGTTTAATACTGTTTTAGGTTGAAAATGATTGAGAGGTGATAGAATAACTCAACAGTAGTTTTTTCTTAATGTTTATTTATTTTGTGTGTGTGTGTGTGTGTGTGTGTGTGTGTGTGTGTGTGAGAGAGAGAGAGAGAGAGAGAGAGAGAGAGAGAGAGACAAGGAGAGAGGGAGAGAGAGAATCTCCAGCAGGCTCCACGCTGTTGGAAAAGAGCCCCATGTTACCTGAGCCGAAATCGAGTCTGATGCTCAACTGAGCCACTCAGGTGCCCCAACTCAACAGTAGTTCTAATGTCCTTTTGTTTTTATT